TGCCACATTTAGTGGGTACACGGCCCCCCTCTACTTTAGAGGAGTCTGTCCAGAGAGGGACAATTACCCCATAGTAGAGATAATCTGACTGCTGGGAATGCTGGGATTTGTAACTCCTCGAATGATGGAAACATTTGTGTACTTAAAGGGATAAGCTAGACCTTCCTCTTCCAGGGTTCCATGGAAATCTAGCATTCTTTTACAGGTTGCTTAGGGTTCCTTGTGAGAAGATCAATTTCTGCCTCTCAGATAAGTAACTACTGACACCAATTAACTTTTTACTTATCTGTAAGGGGGCATTTTCCCCACTGACCAATAGTTAAAGGGGCAGTCTGCCCATTGAACATGAACAATACTGTACAGGCAGTCTTCATATTTATCTATACTGTAAGGGGCAATTTTCCAACTGACCAATACTGTAAGGTGAATTCTGCCCATTGCCCAATACTGTAAGGGCCAATTTTCCCATGGGCCAATACTGTAAGGGGAATTCTTCCTAAAGACCAGTACTGTAAAGAGCAGTTTTCCCGCTGACCAAAACTGTAAGGGACAGGCTTCTCAATGACCAATATTCTAAGGGGCAGTAATTTCATTAATCAATACTCTAAGGCCAGTCTTCCCATGGACCAATACTGTAAGGGACAGTAATTTTATGATCAATACAGTAAGGGGCCAGTCTTCCCATGGAGCAATATTTTAAGGGCAGTCTTCCCATGGACCAATACTATAAGGGCCAGTCTTGCCTTTGACCAATACTGTAAGTGGCAGTTTTCCCACTTGCCAATACTATAAGGGGCAGTCTTCCCATTGACCATTAATGTGAGGGGCAGTCTTATCATTGACTAATATTCAATGGTCAGTCTTCCCATGGACCAATTTTGTAAGGGGCAGTCTTACCATTGATCAATACTCTAAGGGGCAGTCTTCCTACAAACCAAAATTGTAAGGGCAGTCTTCCCATGGACCAATACTCTAAGGGGCAGTTTTCCCACTTGCCAATAATGTGAGGGGCAGTCTTCCTGTTGACTAATAATGTAAGGTGCATCTTATCATTGACTAAGATTCTAAGGGGCAGTCTTCCCATGGACCAATTTTGTAAGGGGCAGTCTATACTCTTAAGGGGCAGTCTTCCTACAAACCAAACTTGTAAGGGTAGTCTTCCCATGGACCAATACTATAAGGGGCAGTCTTCTCATAGACCAATGCTCTAAGGAGCAGTATTCCTACAAACCAATATTGTAAGGGGCGGTCTTCCCATGTATTAATACTATAATGGGCAGTCTTCTCATAGACCAATGCTCTAAGGGACAGTGTTTCCATGAACCAATAATGTAAGGACTATTTTTCCCATTTACCACCAGTGTAAGAAGCATTCTTCCCATTGGCTAACAATGCGAGGGAACATTAACATGTTCACTGCGTTAGTTTGCTTGCTATCATTATTCTGTGTTTTATTTGATTAATATTACTGCAAATAATTTTGCCATATAGAACTTACTGTTCATGTTCTTGTGCCATTAGGTGTAGATAAATTAACTATTAGCAGGGGTACCCTGAGACCTGAAAATCATTTCAAGGGTTCCTCTGTGTTAAAAAAGGTTGAGAAAGGCTGCTATAGACGGAGTCATACTATATATATATATACCGTTTTATCTGCCAGATAATTTGTAACCTCATAACCTCATATTCCGAGTGATCTTTGATCTCCATCCACCATTATAGTGGTGATGTTCAACCACTCTCCTTGAGAGCCCACTATGTACCTCCTCCTCCCGCCTATCATCTTACACAGCAGCTCCTCCCACTTCAAGCCTGATTTCAGTTCATACTAACTATACCAGCTGAACTGAAAACAGGACCTTAGGGAGTTGGGTGGTCAGCAGAGAGGTTCACTCGTAAATAAGGAAAGAGAAGGACGCTGTAAGACCAACAAAAGCTATTTTCATTATTCTGCATTTAATTTTAATAAACAGCCCAAAGTTGGATATTTTTTTCCTTTAAAAACACAAGTTCTACATAAAAGTGGAATACACGTGATTTACTCTATTCACAATCTGTAATATATTCTTTGTAAACCTCACATATAAAGATGACGTTGCCTGCACATGAAATGTATATGGGCTGTACATCGTAGCTGATGAAGTGCTATTCTCAATAAGTGATTTCAGATGGTGGTTCTGCGCTCCGCAGACGAGTTTAATGGATTCAATCTGAACAAGTTCAAATTTCATTAAATGTAATTTTCTTCTAGGAAAACCCAGATCATTTGATTGATTTGTTAAACGTGGTTAGGAACGACGAAAGAGGGATTCGGTGGAAAAATCAATTGGAGTGACATACTAAGAAACAGCTATGGGATCACATGAAGCCCCTCCTACCTGTGATCCCAGTATTTCTGCCTAACAACATCCAAACTGTGCAGACAGTAATGGGGTGCTGCATCCTGAGAACAAGGAGACTCTGGGGTTGTTTTTCTGGACCTATTTACACTATTGCAATGTGGTTATGTGTACATTACAACCCGTGCATTACTGCAACTCGCTGCAACACACATTGCCTGTGACTGTGCGATTTGGTGCCATTATAAATGGCACCCCCCATGTGCTGCAGTGCAAAGGACTAATCTGTTGTGTGGTGCACTGCCAGATATGCTACATATGCCTTTGTTGGGCCTGTAGCATTCTGACCATGCCGAGCATGGAAGCAGATCTGTGCTGGTGTGGTTGGTTTGTATTTCTCAATCAGAGCTACAGGCCGCCATGCCAATCCATGGCGTGCCTGCTGTCCTCTTGTCAGTTTTACCGTCGCAGTTCACAAGCTGGCAGAGAATGTGCACAGTCACGTGACCACTTTTTTCAAACTACAAAAATAAGGTATAAAAACAATTCTTTTTGATAAAATATGTTTATTGAACCATTAGAGAGTTTTTTTTTTTTTTAAAGTAATTGCATGCTATTCTTGATTTAAAATTATGTATGTCCCACCGCACTCTAGATCGGAAACCCAATGCAATAAGATGGGTGCTGGTATGACCAGCGGATGGTGACACGTAAGTCCAAAGGTATAAAGTAGTCACCCGCACACCAAAACTCCTTTATTCAGACGCTAAACATACATGGTAACACCAGTGGGCAGCAACCACTTGCTGTTCACTGGTGTATGTTTAGCGTCTGAATAAAGGAGTTTTACACGTTGGACCTTGGGGTGCGGGTGACTACTTTATACTTTCTTGATTTAAATTCACGTACACTTTAAAATGGAACTCCCACTAAAATTCTTTTGCAGCTCTAGACAGAAAAATCTGTTTGGTTTTGATTGCTGCTCTGCATCATTATGGGGATCACTAAGTTTCTATTACTTCCTATCCTGGAAACACAACAGGAAGTGAAAGGAAATCCCGACGACAGCTGTTACCTGAACAGGTGTTCATATCGGGAGACTATTGCACATGTCCCATCGCACTCCTGACTGGTGGATCCCAATGTTCATGGTGGGTGCTGCAGTGGCAAGCAGATGGTGCCGCACTCACAAGCTATAAAGAGAAGAGTCACCTGCACACTGACTGTGTTATAACTTCACCCTTTATCAATGCAAATAAATCATATCAGAAAACAAACAATGTTTCAGGGCTGCAAAGGGTCCCTTCATCAGACAACATTGTTTGCCTAATAAAGGGACCCTTTGCAGCCCCTAAAATGTTGTTTGCTTTGTAACATGGTAAAGGAGGAAGTTGTATCACAGTTGGTGACGTGCCGGTGACTGTTCCCTACATTGCCCCTATTGGGAGACTTCCCCTCACCTCTTGACACATCCCTCACCAGTTTATTTAAAGACTAAAGAGTTTCCCTTTAAATTCCGGCCCTTGTGAAGTCTCTCATTGGTCCCAGGCTTTTCAATTAACAGTTAGAACAAAAACCCTATCTGAAAATATTCAAAGCGGGGGCGCTTCTAGTGCCCTAAACCACCTGGGGAACGCACAGTCACCTAAACTAAAATGTTGTGGGGTTTGTAGACTCCAATAATAAAAGGGGTGATGTTTTTTCTTATTGCCCATTTAGAGCCTCATGCACATGGGCGCCAGAGGTCGTATAAGGTAAAAATCGGGTTTATTTCTCCAGTCGGTGCCACAGCTGCTGCACCCAGCCACCCATACAAATCAAGTACTGTACTATGGCTGCACCCAGGTATACGGCAGCAATTGCAAAACACGCCAGTGTGCACAGACAGTCTGCTCTCGCTGTTATACCTCCTTACACATGCGTGAGTTTAAGCAAGTACTTAAACTCACGCAAGTATACTTGCATACATCAGCATACATCAGCATACAGCCATTGGTTTTTGTGGGCATCTGTATGTTGCAGCTGTGGTTCCTGGGCTGGGAAATGCACCCAATTTTTTGTTGTAGGGCCTCAGGCACCCGTGTGCAAGAAGCCTACTATTAAATAAAATCTTCTTTGGAGGATGGTACATATAATGATATAAATGAACATTAAAATTACATGTATGATACTGCTTACAAAATTAATTAAAATTGATGTTCCAAAATCATCATGTGCATATAATATAAATCATTGTCCATCAATGGGCATTCATTGGTTTAGTGAAAAAGAAGTATGCATCCTGCATTAAAAGCGCCGGATTCTGTCATTATCCACCCAACATGGTTGGTGAGGAGAAAATGCAGTAACTGATGGAGATAGAAATGGATGACCAAGACTGAAGTATTTGTGTCTATAACAGGGGTAGGCAACCTCAGCACTCCAGCTGTGGTGGAACTACAAGTCCCATGAGGCATTTCAAGGCTGTAACAGCCACAGGCGTGACTCCTAGAAGCATGATGGCATTTGCAAATTCAGCTCAGCTGGAATGCCGAGGTTGCCTATCCCTGATCTACGGGGTCATACTTAATGGCAACCATAATTGTAAAGCACACCAGGGGCACTTGGCAGAAGACCTGGGGCACGTGCCCCGGGTGCCAGGGTCTAGCAACACATCTGATTCTAAATCTAAAATGATATCCTTCATATAAACAACAGCAGCATCATAAAGTCAGCGGAGACTCCAGGAACTCCAAGGCTCTGTTTCATCGGCTCCAGACTCTGTCTGTCAAACCTTGGTGGCAGGGCTATGGCTCCATGGCAAGGTTATCCACACCAACCTTCTGTGTGTATTTTCTCTACAAAAAGACAAAATAAATCATTGTGATGGGTGCAGCCTGATATTCCGGAGAATTCCCTTATTGTCGGAGTAATAATATCAACACTCTAAAAACACACACAAACCTACAATATGTCTTCTTGTCTCCATTGGTACAGTCAGCCATATTGAGGGCCACTATAGGTGGAGACTACTGAATAATAACAACTTATAGTCTTTAATGATGGTCATAAATGGAAACATTTTTTAATTATAAACATAGAGTTTGGGAGATCCAGTGACAGTGAACTACGCACATAAAAGTATTTAACAGAAGCCCTCAATCACCTCCGTAGCTGCAGGCACTGTGGACAAATTCAACTTTGAAGGTTTAATTCGCCTTTTCACAAAAATAAAAAGGTCAACTAATGCACAACACCCTCCTCAACCCCAGCCACTTCCCACTCCTCAATCCCCCCCCCCCTCCCCCCCCCCCCACACCCGCCCTCTCTTCTTACTCTGCTCTCCGCCACAGCCTCTCCTCTCACTCTGCCATCCTCCACAGCCTCCCCCTCCTCTCACTCTGCCATCCTCCACAGCCTCCCCTCTCCTCTCACTTCGCTCTCCTACA